ATCAAACTCCATTTTCAAACTAGTTAGGTTATTTGGCCATCTATTAGACCGTGATCTATTTGATCAGCTCTGTTAGACTGCAATAGTAACAATTTGCAATTCACATGCTACTATTTCTATTAGTCATTCAATCAAGGAACATAAGCAACAATATTGTGAATATTCATAAACTAAAAATTATCTGCAGTTTAAGACTTATTCACTGAAGAAATTCACATGTAAATTTGAATAATGAATTAATTTAAGAACCATTGAAAAGGAAATTTAGTAAACAGAGAGGCAAGATGAATGAATTATTCACTATGAATATTTGCTCAGTTCTATGAAACAATCACTTTAAAAAAAGAATGGAAAACAATAATATCAGACAACATGTGATTTAGTCACATTACAATATTAAGCACGAGCACACAGATTCTAGACATAGGTATGCTTCTTTGGTATTTGTCCAGCAATATGATGGTTGTGTAAATTTTATCCAAAAAATACCCAGATGCAGGATCAAAGTTACAAGTCAAATCTGATCTAAGACAATCAAATCAAAAGCTGACTAAGGAACAAGAAGTAAATCCTTCTATATTAAACCAACCATAGTTTTAACATCTGCTCTTTACTTAAGGCTAGACTGAGATACAGCCCTCTGTGGCCATGCAGAGGAATTAATGCTGTAAGATCTCCCTATGTCCTTCCCCTTTGTACAGGACTTACCCAATTTGTATAGGGCAGCAAGCTCCATGAAAGGCTGACTCCACCCATGAACAAAGTAGATGGAAAGAATTTGGAGGTGCGGGGGAGAGGGAGGGAGTAATTGAAACTTGGCTTTGTCTTCAGCCCCTGCCTCCATCCCTCTCCCACATAAGAGCCTATAGAGCTCATGTGACAAGATAGGGATTCTTACTCCTTCTTTCCCAGGCTACAATATGTTACTTTTTCCCTAAAACAAGTGGGGAACAGCTAAGAAAAGTGACTACAACCATTTATTTTGAGGACTGCTCCTGCACTTTCACCCTTTACCAAAGCCCAGAGAGTAATCTTTCCATCTAGCACAAACCCACAGTGGTAACAGAAACCAAATTCCATTGGAAACTGAACTCAGACTTTGTGTGTCAGAAGTTAGGTACAACACTTAAGACACCAAACAGGATTTTGAACTCCAAATAACCACCACAATTCGGCTTTATTTACACACCACTTTTCTTTAGACCTGTATTTCAAAATCCTTTCTACGAAGACAATGCACAGTATATATTACAGACAATACTAGTAGAGGGGCATTAGGCTGGACTTTGCTCTCACATGGGTAAATCAGGAATCATTTTCTAGTTACTAAAACTACTCTGGATTTAAACCAGCATAGATGAGGGTAGACTCTAGTACATTGTGTTGTGAATAAATTAAAACATTCACTCACAAAACCAATAAAAAAAAGGAGTTAAGTGGAGGCAGAGAATGCATAGAAAAGATCAGTTTTAAAATGAGATTAATGGAACTCATTTACTACATTTACTGTTCAAACATTAAAACAATATTAGAACAAACAATGACATGAATCTGTAGTCAATAGGACTAAGTGTGCATGAGTAAAGGTCGCATTATTAGGCCTTAAGTGAAAAAGAACATTGTATTACTGTATAAAAGGGAAAACAGAGAAAACAGCTTACAGTAATTTAGACGCATGATTTAATTTCAACTCCCAGCCAGTCAGCTCATCAGGCACCATTTCACAGGCTGGCATCTCCATAATAGGCTTGAACTGGCCATTACACATACTTCAAGAATATCCGTTCACTCAGCTCTGGTCCTCAGTGATCCTAGCTCAGAGTTCAATTAATACTGTCAACTCCCTTGTTTCATTATTTTTTTTAACAGTTAATCAATACTCAAACCAGAGCAGGTGTAATTTGGAATACTTGGGATCATTCATTACAGAGGGACACAATTTTTCCTCAAATCATGCCTGCTCTTCAGGCAGCCTGCACAAAACTGTAAGACTGATTGGTTAGGACTGAATCATGTTCCAACAATTAACCTGAAGTTCCTCACAAAAAGTTCCTCAGGTTTGGTGAACTTTCACTGAACTCCAGGTAAGGGTTGAGGGAACTCTGGCAACTAGAGTTGGAGACTCCAGGCTTTAAGGTTCATAGCTTTACTATGCAAGGCTTCCCAGACTCCTTCCTGTGGAGCTAGGAAGCTAATTGGACTAATTGAAATTCAGGTCTTGGCTCTGCAGTAGAGAGATTGCAAATCCCTAGGTCTCTCCTTGATTCCAGGTTTCCTGCTACAGGGAGCCTGTAAAACTCATTTTTTGAGGAATGGGGGCTCTTGCGCAAAAGGGTTTTTTCTTGACAAATGGCCCCATCTACACAGGGCTTTTTATTGCAAAAACCTCTTCTGCAAAAAGGCTCAGAAGAGGATATGCAAATGAGCAAGATATGCAAATGAACACTCCATTTGCATATCTTCTGCTGGAAAAAAACCCCAACATACCACACAACCCACACAACCACACAGTGTAGACATAACCTTTGAGATGAATTCTATAGTTTGCAGTTCTGGGGCAATCTTCATGGCAAGGTTCTCCCCAAAGCTGCAAACACTGGTAGCCCAACAGCTGCAGAGTGAAATTGGTACTGCCAGCTTTTCCACTGCATTAGCAACATGTCCGTCAGCAGCTCTCAGTCCCCAGGAGCAAATATTGTTTTGGAAATGCAATCAGTGTTTCCAAAATTAATTTTTCTATAGTTACTGGTTTATGAAAGAGTTTTGAAGACACTGGAACGGAATCAACTTGGAAGGAAACCAAACTTTGAAATGCCAGCATTTCTCACAAGCCAGAAATCATATGTGTAAGCTAGCATCACTGCTGGTTGTATTGCTAGTCCACTACTAATCAAATCCTGTTCAAACTAGTCTCTCAAAACATCCCAGCTGAAATCCATAGATTTCTAAACTTTGAAGCCAGATGCAGCTATTGTGATCATCTAGTTTCATCTCCTATATAAACAGAATATATAGAACTCCCCCAAAATAAAACCGAGAACATCTCTCACAGGGAAAAAAATCCAATCCTGAAATAAAGTTGCCAGATGTAGAGAATCTACTACTTCCTTGCTAAATTGTTCTAATAGCTAACTATTCTAACAACCTAAACATTTACTTTTTCCACTTTGGATGTACTATCTGCAGTCCAAAATTTTGCATTAATTAGATTAACAGGAATTGGCCTTGTATCCATACCGCCTAAAATCACCAGAGACAACATATTAATCTTACACTCTTCATTGGTAGTTCTTGGAATTCTGAAGTATTGAATCCATTACTAAATTTGATAGATCAAACATAAGATTGTCAAGTGAGCCTTGGTAGAAGAGTATTTCCTAACTATTGTTACATTTCCATTTATTTATCAATTCCATGCAAAGAAATCCCTAGAAAGGTAGGTTTTGTATGGGTAATACTTATTTTATGATTTTGAATTTACAAATCTGAATATTTAAATTGACATAAGACTTAATTTGTAAGTTGTTCTCTTACATACAAGTTCTACACTGTTTCTTCTTTGGAAATAATTATGCAATATTGACTTTGTCGAGACTAGTTCTCTTAGGGTCTTTTTGCTTTTCATGATTTTTAAAAAGTTCAGTAGGAATTTTGCCATTGACTGCACCCTTTAAGATGCATTATCACTGCTTCTATTCAATTGATTTTCTATCATGAACCCTTTAAAATCCTTGGTTTCCAAGCTACAGTGTCTCACCTTATAAATCTGACCAGAGTCTTCGATCCAAGGCATACTAACATACACTGGTCATTTTTACAAACTCATTCATATGAGACTGCTTTATCAAGCCATCCAAGGCAGTTCATATAAAACTTTACTAATTTTGGTGTCTTGTACACAGTTCACCAGAAATTTAATATTTTCTTCTTGATCATTGATAAAGATAGTGACTAGCACTGGATCAAGAAGTTGTAGGACCCCATTAGAAATAAACATATTTACAATTTTTGTAATCTGTTAGTCCTTCACTTTCTAAATAAATTAATTTAAAAAAGTCTATTATAAGTTGATAATAGCTCACTAAGTATTATGCTTCACAGAAATCTGTGTTAGAGCTAAAAAAGTCTCACTAAGGCTATGTCTACACAAGAAAATGGACAGAACAGAGGGCTTTTGCTGGTAGAGTTATTCTTCTCCCCATAAGGAATATCTCCTTTTTGCACTACAGCTCTTGTGCAAAAAGGTAGGTATGGATGCTCCTGAGGGGTTTTTGCGCAAGAAACCCCTATCGGAAAAAAGCACAGGTGCTCTGATGGCCATTCTGTGAATGGCCATCAGAGCTTTCTTGCACAAAAGTGTCCATGCAGTGTGGCCGCTCTCTTGCATAAAAGCACATCACTTTTGCGCAAGAGCTCTTCCACAAAAGGCTTCTTGAACAAAACACTGTATACAAAGCCTAAGTGTTTTTCCTTTGGTTAATGCCAATTAACTGAGGTAAGTGTTCCATGGGAGTTTTAATTTCAGCATTTTAAGAAAAAAATCCAAATTCTTTGATCAGGTTGAAATGTTCCTATGGTTTCAGAATGCAATGTTTTTGATTTTAAGATATTTACTTGTTTCAATCACATAATTTATAATATTAAATATATAATGGAATACAAATATCAATTAAAATATGCAACTAATATTATTCACAATGAATAATCTGACTAACTAGAATTTTGCTTATTTGCTACTAGAATACTCAGTGTTTTGGGGTATTTATGTCCATTTTGTACACTTGTGATATTTCCAAGAACAGTGAAGCTACTAGGAGTGTCCTAGGAAAGGAACTTAGAAAAGCAAGGGAGAGAGAGAAGATGGTAGAGAGACTTCATTATGTTAATATTCCTTCTCTCTTTAAACTATGAACTTTGTTTAGAACAAACAATCCTTTGTTGTGTGTGGTTGTATTTTTACATTTTACATTTTTACATATTTTTTTTTTAATTGGACACAGGTTCTGAAGGGAGGTCTTGCAGAGCATCTGAATCCTATCAAGCCTGCTGAGCAATGACAAGTGGTACACAGAGTACCGTAGCTTAGTATCCCAGTGAGAGAGAGTCACAACATTTCATGCCAGGGAGATGAAGGCAAGAAGTCTGCCACCTGGAATGATTACACCCAGGGAGTGGAAGGATTCAAAACATGTTAGTAGCCCTAAAGCAAGAAGTCTACATCAATCACCATTCAGGATTTTATTTCACTGAGAATTAAGCACACATTTAAAGTTAGCATATGCTGAAATGTTTTCCTGAATAGGAATAGGTTCCTGAATTGGGACCAAGTAATTGGATTATCTATGCTTTTACCTCACTAATAAAGCTATGACGAGCAGTGATCTTTCATGCTAAGATAGCAGTCCTTTTCCAGACACTTAACCCTCTCAAGGAAATTCTTGAACCTCAACCTATGAATACTGAGATAATTTTCCAGACAATTGCTTGCCAATTTTTCCAGGTCATAGTGCTTGACTTGCAAAACCCTCAGTCATTTATTAGAGATGGTGGAAAATTTTCCACAGAAAAGTGTTTTCATAAGAAATTGCTGTTTTGCTGAAATCAAAAGTTTTTTCTGGTCGCAAATCAGTTTTGACAACAATTTGTCATAGAATAAAAAAAGCATTCTGATAAGGTCAAAATATTTCAGTCATGAATTATTACAACATAGCATTTTGCTTTCTCTCGTTTCAAATTGCTTTTATAAAAAGTTAAATATTTACATCAAAAAATCAAAACATGTTTACCATTTTCTAGAGGAAAAAATTTTAATTGACCCCAAACTTTTTCCAAAAATTCATTTCATGAGCTTTTCAACTTGAAACATCAGAATTCTGAATTTCCACCACCTCCCTCAATTAAAAGTGGGCCTAACTTTTTCCTTGTGTCCAACTTAAATCCTCTTTTCCTATGGCTAAGAGGACTTTTCAAGTTGTCTCATTTCTAGAGTTCCAATTATATGATCATAATAGCTCCTTCACAGAAGAAGTGTATTTTTGCACTTGATCGGTTTCTGACTGATGCTTTGGAAAGTGGGTCCATTTATTCTTTTCAAAACTTGACTTCTATTTTACTCGGTTAGCTGCAGGCATTTTATGGGATTTATAATTTGGGATGGGATTTTCAAAAGTATTCAGTATTGACCTCACCCAGCTTCCATTGAGGTCAATGGAATGGACTCCAACAACAACAGTCAGAACAATGATCCACACAGTCACAGTAGCAAAGTAGAGAACTCAAATGATTATTATAGATTTTACAGATAGGAAAATGGAAGCAGAGTGAGAGATTGTTATATGTTCAGTGATACCCAGAAAGTTGGTGACAGAGCTGGCAATAGAACCAGATATCCTGATTTATAGTCCTATGAATCAACAAGGCAATCCTTGGCTTGATAGAGGTTTGTGAAATTACTTGTTTTGCCCTTATATGGTCAACTGGATTTACCTCAATATAGAGAGAGAGAGCTGAATTGCCATTGATACCAAACATGAAGAATAAAGGTGAGCTTCCATAACTTGCTCTTTGAGAGAGATCTAACTGCTGATTTTGTAAAAAGCTTTGGATGATTTGAAATTCAAGACTTTATCTGAACATATGACTATGCTCTTAAACCGAGCTGTCTTCATTTGAAAAAAATACAGTGAGGATAACTCATTCACATTCTGTGCTGACACAGTCTTCAAGATTTTATACTATGTAGATTTGTCTAGTGCAGTTATTTTTGCTGGCCTTTCTGTTTGTTTTACATCTGCACAGTTTTCCACGCAAGTTGAATTTGCTAATCATATTTCCTCTGTGCTTTGATCACGTTGAAGGTTAGTGTGCTGAAACATCTTTTTACTTTATCTATCAAGTACTGTATATTATTCTACATGGTCTAGCATGAGCCTTCTTACGGAAATGTGCACCCAGGTCAAATCCTTACATTCCTCTGGTTGTCCCTTTAGCGACGAAACATTTTTCTATGAATCAACTTTATTCACACAAGATTCCTACACTTATCTGGTACTATCTTTCATGGAAGGGCTCACTCTATGACTGTCTTGACTGGCATGATTTTGCGCAAATACTTAACGGAAAAACTTTTCCATTAAAAGTATTGCGCAAGAGAGCATCTATACTGGCATGTGCCTTTGTGCTAAAGATATGCTTTTGCGTAAAAGCATCCGTGCCAGCATAGACACTCTCTTGCACAAGAAAGCTCCGATGGCCATTTTAGCCATCGGGCTTTCTTGAGCAAGAAATTAATGTGGCTATTAAGAATACTTGTCCAAGAGGGCTTTTCCCTGAGCAGGAGCATTTGTGCAAGAACCACTGATATTGTATATTACAAAGTCAGTGTTCTTGCACAAATACTCGTGGCCAGCGTAGACAGGCGGCAAGATTTTGCACAAAATCATTTGCTTTTGCGCAAAATCATGCCAGTCTAGACGCAGCCCAAGGGTACGTTTACACAGCAGAGCTAAAGTTAGAATAAACTATGCAGCTTCAGCTATGTCAAAATTGCTTATTTCAGCTTTTTCATGGTCTACACAACAGGAAGTCTAAGGAACAACACTCTTCCTTCGACCTCTCTTACTCCGACCTCTCTTACTCCTTGTAAAATAAGGGCTACCTTATTGGAGTAAGAAGTCTTCCAGCTCGACATTATTTCAAAATAAATGCTTTTAGTGTAGACATGCACTATGTTATTTTGGAATAACGTCATTCCTGACAGTTGTTTGTCTGACCTGCTCTTAAGAGCCTCCAATGATGGACATTTCAAAACCTTCCAAGGCAACTCATTCAGTGCTTAACCATGCTGACAGTTAGGAAGTCTGTCCTAAAATCCAACCTAAAATCTTACTTGCTGCAGTTTAATCCCCTTGGTTCTTGCCCTATTAGAAGTAATTTTCACTCTCCTCCTTGCAACATTTTTGATACTTAAGTCACCCCTCAGACTTCTCTTTTCCTGACTAAATAGTCCCAATACTTTCAATCATTCCTCTTGGTGATGTTTTCTAGACCGTTAATCTTTTTTGTTGCTCTTCTTTGGACCTTCTCCAATTTGTCCATATATTTCTTGAAACATATCACCCAGAACTGGCCACAAAATTCTAGTTGAGGCCTAATCTTTACAGAGCAGAGCAAATGAATTACTTCTCGTGTCTTGCATAAAATTCCCCTGTTAATATTTTCAAAAATCATATTTGAAACAGTGTCATACTGTTGACTTATATTTAGCTTGTGGTCTACTATGACTCCTAGATCCTCTTCATGGTAGTCCTTTGTAGGTAGTCATGTCCCATTTTGTAGATGTGCAATTGATGGTTCCTTCTTAAGTGGAGTATTTTGCATTTCTACTTTTTTAAAATTACCCTGTTTACCTCAGATCATTACTCCAGTTTGTCCAGAATATTTTGAATTACAATTTTATCCTCTAAAGCACTTGCTACCCATCGCAGTTTGTTATAATCCATGATCCTTACTAGCATAATCTGAACACCATTACCTACATTATGGGTGAAGATATTAAATAGAACTGGTCCCAAAACCGATCCCTGTGGAATTCCAGTCATTATACCCTTCCAGCATGACTGATCCATTGAAAACTGGTTGGATAACCATTCTCAGAGAGTAGATATGTATCCACCATATAGTGACTCCATTTAGGTTGTATTTCCCTAGTTTAAAGGAGAGGTCCTGTGAGACTATCAAAAGTGTTGTTAAATTCTAGATATATCACATCTGAGCTTTTTTCTTCTAATTTGAGTTTTTCTACTACCTTTTATATAAAATTTTTGCACAAAATATGAAATAGGGGAAAACTAAAGCTGTATGTTGTAATCCATCTGTCATTTAGTGGCCTACAAAAATGAAATGTTAAAAATTAATTGAGCAATCTACAAAATGTTCATTATGCTATGTTGTGGGAGTTCACTGACACATAGCTCAAAATATGAGAAGCATGCAAACAGTATCCTTCTTGGAATTGTACCAAGTAATTTTGCAATTAAAAAACTGGTTTGTTAATAGAGCAAATATCATCCTGAGATGGGTGATTTTACTCCATCAGTACACTCTGGACCACAATTTTTTTTTTAAGTAAGGATATTGAAATGTACTTATAACACATCAGCTACTACAAATAACTCATTCTCCAAAATGAATTCATTTTTCTGAACATTTATGAGCAGTAGTTATATAAAGAATTTAGCAAGATATGTTTAATTCAGTATGTCAGCAATGTTAAACAATTGTAAAAAAATTAAAAACAAAACCCTATTAACTCTGATGTCCTTTTGGCAATAAAGTTTTAATTTCATTATATTCAAGGCAATATATTTTGAAAAAAATAGATAGAAACAAAGAAATTATAGTATGTATTATTTTGTAATCTATCTGGATCTCCTGAAAACTATAGGTCCAAATCCTGCAGTCTTTTTTCAGGCTGAGTGCCCATTGATTTTCATGCAGCAAAGCATGACTTCTTTTGAGGTTTTGCCTGATTCATGCCTGTATGATTGAACTACTGCTGACAATTGTGTCTCAGCCTCCAGGCACACAATTTTTCTAATTAAAGTGAACATACCACATATCAATGGAATGCAGAAAAAAGATACAAAGGTCAATGTTTGCTTTTCTGCTCCTATTGCTTTATTGGAAAGAAACAAACCATGTGGCGCACTGTTACCGAATTCTATTTGCTAATTCTTCACTCAATATTCTGTGGCAAAGAACAACCAAACAAAAGAGATATGGTTTTTGTCAGTATGCCCTAGTTCTTTCCTTCACCTAAAGTTAGTGTTCAGTTGACAGCTGTACATAAACAGCAAGAATCAAACTTAAATATCTAATCCTGGATAGGCCAAAAAAACAAACTGATTACACAGGGTGTTTATAAACCGGTTTATTCTGTGAACCCTGCTGCAAGTGTGCTGTGTTATAAGATCAATGTTCCTCAGGATTTGCACCTGGAGGGAGGCATCTTAAATTTTACTATAATCCTGCAGCTCTTATACTGGCTGGAGCCCCCTCTGGCTGTGCCGTTTAAGGCTTAAGCATTAGAGACTATAAAACTAAACAAAGATCCTTGGTATCATTCAACAAAGTAGCTGTCCCATGGCAAAGAACAAGTTTAGCTGTTTTGCTAGCCTCTCCATAAAAAGATTTAAGTCTAATTTAAGGCAAGATGCAATAAGCAGATGTGAAACAATTGGACAAGGGAAGGAGCACAACTGTAAATAATGAAGATGTGCTAGGTGTTTTTAATCTAATTCATTTTTTAAAGTTGAGAAAACAAATCAGTGAGTTAAGTATCTGAAATTCCCTAGTGAACATCTACCTAACCATTGTATATTGACAATTTATCATAGATATCATATTAACAGTGAGTGCTGAGGAGGGATGCAAGTAAGGACGGAGTACTTGCTATTTGGACCAGGGAAGACATAACTGAACAGTCATATTCTAACACACACAAATACCCCACCCCTTCACCTCACTTTTCCCTTCAAAACTAAAAGAGTGTTTGATCAAAGGCTTTCAGACTATTTAGTTCTCTAGAATTTTTAACGTTCTCCTAGCGTCTGTTTTTCCTCCCCCTCGACAGGTGGGTTTTTTTAAACTGATGATATCTGGAACA